GTGGCGCCCTCTAGCGGTCCATTTGAGTTTTATGTCTGATAAGGAATTGCTATATAGGAATTGCTAACTTCACAGACATAAAAAATCACATATGTCAACCATTAAGTTTTACTCTATTTGCGATCTATTACTGTAAAATTAAATGATAACATTAATTATCCTACCAACCAATTGGTATGTTACAATGTACTATCTTTACAGATGATAAAGAATTCGTTCAACTTAGAATAATTTGCCAACAAAGTATCACAATTTTCAAATTAACATTGTTTATTGATTGAAACGATTTAATTCCGTATTAAATTATTAATTAATCTATTTTTGTATTATTTCAATATTAAGTAACTGCAAAGTAAGTGTTATTCATAACGTGTATTTAGAAATGTATTGATAGAAAAAAATGGTTTATTTTTAGCTCATTAAGAATCTAAATTTTATTGTAATGTTTTTAAATCACTATTTATTATTTAACAAGTATTAGTTACTTTATTTATTACTTTGATCTACAAGTAATGAAATTTTAGTCAAGTTACTCAGAGTCAAATACGACTTTAATATTTTTATATACATGATTAGGGTTAGAATTTATAGCATTTGAATCTTTTTGTTATTACTCTAATACAACGTATTAAATGGAAAATTTGATTCATACAACATTTAGTTTAAATATTTTATTTTATGTATTTTTAAAACATTCACTGTAGGTTTTAAATGCATCATTTTTCTAACATATCCTATTTGTTATGTAAGAAACATACATTTTAACGAGAAGAGTAGTGTGTTAAGAAATAACTAATGATAAAAATAATCAACCCATTCTTTACCTTCAATCTATATTTTGAAATACTAAATCACTTTTATTCTTAATTAGATCATTTTCCGGTAAAAAAGGAAGGTAATATGTATAGTGTCATTAAAAAAAAAGATATCCTTTTAAGTCTTAATGGTTGGACCTTAAAAGTACTTAGCAATTATTAAATCTAGAAATCTAAGAAATTATAAAATTTTCCAATATTGTTATTTTGTTTATAATTGAGTGGGTTATGACATACCTGTACTTTGTATTAAATAATATGTTTAGATTAAAATTGCCAGTATTCATAATACATTTGTTCTAAAACTATATTTTAAAAAGCAATTTTCATTATATTTTAAAAACTGAAATATGATAGTAAAAAAGTTACTTAATATTTTACAGAAAAAATAAGATATATTATACTAAAGTATTTATATAAGTTGTTTTTTTTAAGATAATGATAGTTATTTTTAATAATTATCTTTAATTATGTTTGTTTTTTTAATTAAGGTTTTAAGTATCTATAATTAAAATTATTTTAATATTAAAAAACCCAGCACAGGGGGGTCGCGGCACAGTGGTGTTGTGGCATAGTTGGATCAAGTATAATGATATCTGACAGTGATTAAAATCACTATAAAAAAAAAAAATGCATCTTAAAGATGCAAATCTTTAGATAGTGTTTAATTTTAAAAAATTGGTGTATTATTCCAAAAGCTACAAAATCTGCTAGTTCCTTATTGATATTCTGATTAAGATAAAGTATGTCAAATGAAAAAGGGATTATTAAAAAATATTATTTCTCATAAAAAATTTGTATTCATCCACACACTTTTCAATAAGTTATAGCATTATAAAGATAAAATTGTAAAAAATTAAAATCGAGAATTTTCACACAAAAATAGCATTTGGTAGCCATTTTCACCACGAAGACAAGTCCAGAGGTCAAATTTTTTTTTTCCATAATAAAGTATTTTAAATTATCTTTAATTTAAGATATATATAAAAGTGTCAGACCTTTTGGAACATTTTCAAAAGTTAGGTTGAAAAAGTAAATTTTTTATGAAAAAGTTTTCATTTTAAATCCCCCCCTGTGGTCAGGTTAAGTGTCAGATTTACAAAAAAAAATATTATATTAATATGTTCATTTTTGAAAAAGTTACGGCAGTTTTTAGTAAAAAAAATTTCGAAAATTAGCGATTTTTAAATTTGTAATTTTTTTGGATGTTTCCCTCATTTATGGGGAACGAGGGAAATTTTTTCAATTTTTAAGGGTAATGTCTTCGACTAGATACCATTTTGATCTTTTGACGTATCGCTGAAAGAAATCCGTTCAGTGAGAGCTAAGAAAAAGTGGTATCAGACACAAAAAAGAAAGAAAAAAAACACATCATAGTAAGACCAATACCTTCTCAGCTTCGCATCGAAGCTAAAATAGGGAAAACTCATAGTTATATAATTGGCATAAAATATTTTAAATAAATCTATGTGTTTCAGAGAATTGGTAATGTTTTTTAAGTGCAGCAATGGAAGAGCCATACGAAAGAGAATTGTATAATTTATTTAAAAGTTTTGAGCATAATGATAATGGTTTATTGGATCATAATGGCATAAATTCTTTATGTGAAACTTTGCAACTGGATTCCAATCAGAAAAAACAAATATGGTCATACTTAGATCAAAACCAGAGCATATCATTTCAACAATTTCGAGATGCCTTAATTTTTTTGGCTAATAATGATCTTAGAGAAATGAACAAAAAAAGAGAATCATCTCCTGGTAATATTATTGAAATATCAATATTTATTTTTATGGAATAAAAGTATTATTATTAAAGAAATTTCTATATTGAAAAACAATACATTTTCCTAAGTAATTAAAAAATATTTTTTATTTATCTAATATATTTTGTTCTTTGACCTTAATTTTTACATTGTCATGATTTTGATAAGAAAATTTATAATCATGTAAATATAGTTTATTAAATGACTAATGTAAAACAAATCATAAGTAATTATTCTCATAATTAAAATTCAATGTTAATGCGCTAATCTCAGTTGTTAAAATGTTATTACAACTAGATAAGTTTAATGAATAAATATTCAACAAAATATCATCAATGCAATTCTATATTATATTTAAACTTTTAAGTTTTACAATCTAATCAAAAGTAAATTAAACTTGGATTGAAACTTATTTCACAGATGTTTATTTCCCTAAGATTTTGTCTTATAAAAACAGTGCATTTTTATCTGAGCATTGTGATATTTACAATTATACGGTAAATAATTATGTTATTATAATTGTAAATATCTCCAAGATTAATTTAGTTATACTCCTCTCTTTGAAAAAAACTAATCTAGTATTGTTCCATAATATTTTATAGTATTATAATTTTTTCTATTTTCATCATACACTACTTTTTAATTAATTTTCAAATAAGTCAATATAAATTAACTTAATTGATAGATGATTCTTAGTTTTAATTTTATTCTATTTATTGTGTAAATTAGTTAATAAGTTTAAATTTATTTAATTCTTTTATTTATTTCGCAGGCAGAGAAATATCACCCATATATGTATCTGGAGCAAAAAAATATGGCCGTCGATCAAAACCTCGTCATGATAGTTTTATTCTGAGTCCACCTAGTAGTTTTTATGGAAACACTAACAATTGCTTAACAGCCAATTCTCAACATGTGGAAAACGAAAATGTATATTTTTTTATTTATTAAAAATTAAAAATTCTTCTTTATTGACAAATAATATTTTCTTTGTAGTTTCAATTAAATTATGAACCTATTGATGACATTCAAAACAAAGCCAATACATTATTCCATTGTGATGATAAAAGTAGTAAGCATTTTATCCTTGAATTTTTTAATAAAAAAATCTTGAAAATAGTCTAAAGTAGTATATTTAAATTATTTTAATTAAATATATCTTTATTTTTATTATTAAGATCTGTCAATAGATAAGCATAGTTTGAGTGTAGCTTGCGAACACCTAGATATTTCAAATGGGTTTATTTCAAAAAATCAATTATTTATCATCACACAACGTTTGAACAATAATGAAAAATTTGTTGAAAAAATTAATGAAAAGTATATAAATGATGATATTCCAATAAAAGATGTTTTAGACCTAATAAATAATTTAGACAGTCGATCCATGTCTCCTGATTCTGAAACATCAACATCAGGAATATCTTCAACATCATTCTATAACAATGGAGACAATATTCAAGAGTCAATGTGTGTTTTGATTGTATAGAAAATTTTGTTGAATAAATTTCAATATAATTTTGATTTTCAGGTTTTTAAATGTATATTCTGTATTAGAACTATGGGATAACTGTGGTATAACTGAGCCAATAACTTTACTTCATCACTTAGGAATTAATACATCTACAGATTCAATACTTAACATTTCAGAACTGATATTTAATATAAATACAGAGGTCAATCAAATACAAAACAGTTTAAATATGTCAACTCTACCTAATTATGATTTAATGCATTCTGCTTTTTTTTATATAAAAGCTTTAAACTCACTAAATGAATATCACATTAAAAGGCTAAAGTAAGACATCTAGATTTAGTTAATCTCAATTGAAATATAATTTAAAATTTAACACTGAACATTCAATCAAAGTATTTTGTTTGTTTAGATATATCCAGGGTCAAAAAAATGTATTTAAAAAATATTTTCTTGTTTATTTTTCTACATAATAATATATTTTTTATGGAACATACAGTTACTATTACAACAAAATTCCAAACAGTTATTTAATTTGTTTGTTTCTGGCTCTGAAATTTTTTTAACCATTCGAATTAGCATAAAAACTAATTGCAACTCCTAAAATTAAAATATTTAAAAAAATTAAAAAACAACTAGTATAAATGAATATATTTTTTATTTAATAAGTGCTTATTATAAGTTATTTTCAAATAGAAACATACCTGTTTATATATTTTACTTTTGCATGGAAATAGTTCATTTATTTGTTCTTTTTTTAATAACTAATTAAACTCTTATTATTGAAGTTTAGTAACTAATGAAGTTAGAGATTTTTTATGATAATTATTATATATCAACTACTTTAATATAATGCAAAGAAGATATATTTGTCCTTTTACTAATTAGTGGATAAATTATAAACCATAAAATTACTAGTATTATGCATACATTTTGATTCTATTCTTTAAATTATATGTTGAATAATTATTTTAGGAATTCACAATTTCCTAAAACTATTTATTAGCTCAAATTGGCCATTGGTTTGAATGAGATTTATTTTAAAGCTAAATAACCTATCCCTGTGTTTTTTTTTTTTTTTCAAATTTCTGTATTATGAAATATATAATTTATAGAGTAGTTATTGAACAAGTTAATTGTGAGAAAGACAAATTAAAATTTGATGTAGAAACAGCTAATGATAGAGCTGCTATGCTTGCACAAGAAGTGGATGAAAACCATATGAGGCTAGAAAAATCTTCGCTAGAAAAAATCAAGTACTTAATTTTTTTATAGATTAAAAAAAAATGATGTAATAATTTTTTCTTCTTCATTTTTAGTGCTCTTGAACAAAAACAGAATGAAGAAAAGAAATCTTTAATGAATCAATGGTTTACAGAAAAAGATAATTTATTTAGCCAAATCAATATTCTTAATGAAAATCTGAAAGAAATTCAAAATTATAAATCTGAATTACAATTAGAACTAGTAAAAACAAAAGAGGTATTTTAAAAGTTTTTTTGAATATTTTGTTGTGATTTGCAACCAAAGTTTTATAATTATTTATTTGTATAATTTGTGTATATATTTATATTCTATAGAAAGTTGGTAAATTAGAAAAAGAAAATTCAAAACTACAAGAACAATTAGAAGATACAATTAATAAAAATACCATTTTAGAAGTATATGTTCAAGAAATTCCCAAATTAAAATTAAAGGTAAGTTAAGAAGTTGTAATTATTATTATAAAGTTAGTTGTACAACAAAGTTTAACTATAAAATTTTCATTTCCGAAACGATTAACCCCATGAAAATTTATCATATTTATAACAGTACCACAAGATCTTATTTGTTCCAAGGGCAATGATTCTATCACATCCCTCTAATACTTAAATTTTAATTAATATATATTAAATAAGATTAAGAGAAACATATATATTTATCATTGATTATTTGGGATGACTAAAATAAGTTTTATAAATGCATAGATGCTAGTTATAAGTATTATAAAAATTCCTCAATTTTGAAAATTATGAATTAAGTTTATTGTTCACCAAAATAAATTTGATCCTACTTTATTTTAATTTATATTAAATTAAAATACTACTTAGTTTGACTTAAATTAACTTTTACATATTTTTTGTGGTTATCTAGGAGATAGAATTAGAATCAAGTAATGTTGAAATCATGGAATTAATGGAGAAAATTGATTACCTAAAAAATGAAAATAAAAATTTAAGAGATCAAAATGATGAATTAGCTATTGAATTAGAATCCGTTAAAGGGTATGACTTAATTTTTAATATTTTATTTTATATATATTTTAACTTCTTACGTATGGCTTAACATAAGAAGGTCAAATAATCAAAATTTGAATGAATCATTTGAAAGTAACATGAGAAATTTCTTAGCTGAAAAAAATAGTCCAAATTGCTTTGGTAAAATAAATATTTTTTCTTCCTCTAATAATTTTATTGAAGAATCTATAGACTCACCAAACAATATAGAAACAAACATTGAGTCTGATGTTACTTTAAACAGAGTAAGTTAAAAGTTTTTATAAACTTTTTTAAACCATTTCTAATATTTATTGGTAAATTTTTGGGTGTATATTTTTTAACAATAGGATGATTTAACTACATGTTCAGAAGAAAAAACAACTTCAATATCATCAACACTTATTAATAGTTTAAAATCAAAAATTTCTCAATCGGATATGAATGTAGAACAATTAGATGAATTAATTTCTTATTTTAAAATTAAAAAGCAAAAATTACAATCTACTGATAATTTTAATGGTTCATCAATATCTTGTTGTCATTCTTCATCACCTACAACTAAAAACTTTACACGTCGATCATTAATCAAACAGTTTGAAAATTCATTAGATTCTGAAACTGTTCAAAACAAAATAAATGATGTAGAAAAATTGAAAAATTTATATGAGGAATGTAAAAGTGAAAATGACATATTACATCTTAGATGTGAACAAATTACTAAGGATTGGGAATTAAGATACAATGATTTAGAAGAAGTAGCTGATAAAGCATTGGATGAAGCAAAAAAATTGAAAGATGAATGTGCAGATTTAGAAAGTGGAATGGATGATCTACGAAATGAATATTTTGAATGTGAAGAATATTGGTCTATGAAATTAGACGAGGAAAGAAGTTTAAATGAAAAGGTATTTATTTTTTTTTAATTATAATGGTTTTATAAGCAATAAGTCTTCATTTTTCAACTTCTTATTTGAAACCAAAAACTCTTCAATCTTATTAATAAAAATTCTATAATTTTATTAAAATTAAAAAATATATAAATTAAAAAGCCATACAAATTACTATACTTATTTCAAGAATGTTTCCATCATCAGTGCTAAACACAGATAATATATGTTTAGCACTAATATTATAATTTTGTCCCGAGATACATAATCTTATAGTAATTTATGTAGCTAAATATTATTAAATAATATTAATAGTATTATGGCTAAATATGATTAAATATTTTTTAGTGATCAATTCTTATATATTAATTGTTTATATACATTTTTTAGGAAAAGAAAGTTTATGAACATAAGTTAAATAATTTAGAGGCAAAAATTAAAGAATTCAGTGATTTGACAAAAAAAAATAACGAGAAGCTATCACCAATTATTGAAAATGCTGAACTAGAAGAACAAGTAAATAATATTAAATTATAAAAAAATTTACCTAATTTATATTTATATTTGAAATAAGTATTTAATGCTTCAAAAAACTAACTATGAAATAAAAAACTTTAATAATTAAAAATAAATATTAATATTATTTAAAAATACACTATCTTCCTACGTAATTCAATTGCAAAAGAATTATTAATTATTTTCTTGATGCACATTAATACAATTAATTATTTTGTACCTAAAGACATAATTTGCATTTATATTTTTTTACATTTTAAAGATTTAGAAAAATTTTTATAAGCATTTGGTATGTTAAATAAATCAGCTAGTAGTTTAGATAAATGTGAATATTGACACATATTTCGAATCATGGAAAATTTGTCTTAACAAATAAATACTATTCTCCCTTAAAATGTATATTTTTTAGATTAATTGTCTTCAAAAAGATTTTATGGAGTATCAAACTCAAACTAAAGAAAAATTAACAAATTTACTTGAGGAAAATAAAGAGCTAAAATCTAAAGTAGCCCCAATGATAAAGAAAATTGATCGTGAAGTTTCTGCTTCTATATTATTTGAAGAGTGTGAAAAATGTAAAGAGAATAATAAAGTAAGATATTCCTTAAGTGGTTATATATTTTATTACTTTAAATAAATGATAACTTTTTTTACCATTAATATTTTAGATAAAACATGAGTTTTCAAACTAGTGTAAATTACAATTATTTATTTTTCTATTTTGGCTAATTCATATAGTTGTTAACATAATTAAAAGTAATATCATATTATTAATAAAGTGTTTATTATATATGATATATAGATAACTTGATCGGATGAGTAATTTTTACTTTTGTGAATAAAAAGAAACGATATTCAAGCAATGTTTAATTATTTATACTTTCTGCTTTGGTTTTTCTATAGTTTAACAGTGCATTTTTTTTAGTTATTTCTTTTTTCCCTATTTTTAAAGTTATTTTAAGTCAAAATTATATTATATTTAATTATAAAGAAGTTCATCTAATGAAAGTATTTCCTTTTTCAAATATCTACTGTGGTTTTCAGGAATGCCATGAATTAAAAAATAAGTATTCAAGTGTTAAAACTACATGTGAAAAACTTACCAAAGAGTGTCGTGCACTTTTACAAAAAAGAAGTGGGTTATTAAATGAAATATCAAAACTACAACAGTATTTTATAAATTTATCTGTAAGTTAACTATAATTATTTGATTATGATTTTTTGAAATGATACCATAAACTGTATCATTCAATTGAATCCAAAAACTATTTTATGAATATTTATATAATGTTGAGAATGTATAGAGTCCAAAATTAATTTGTAAAAATATTTATATGTTTACAATACAATTTTTTTCATCTATAAATATAATAATAATAATATAGTTTTAGGGTAAGTTATTAATAAAATTTGACTATAACAAAATTGATTTCAAGATATATTTTAAAAAAATTGGAGAAATATACATTATTAAAAAACTTAATTGTCTACATAAATTCTTTTAGAATAACCAATTACCTCGTCAAGACATATATTATTCTAATCAACTTACTGCTGATGCAAAGAAATGTAAAGAATTAGAACAGAAAATTCTCATAGAACAAACAAGACACCAGAAATTCACTGATGGTTAGTATAAATTTCATGAATTTTAGTTTTAAAGGAACATAGGTACAAATTGGGAAAGGAGTTTGTAGAGGATTATAGTGCCTTCAAATGTAAAGCATACCTAAAGTTTTTAATTCCTTTAGAATCTTTATTACATCTAATAATTTAGAAATTAAAAAGTAATTATAATGTTAAATAACTCATTTTATTGTAATAATAAATAAAAGACATTTCAACATTAGTGGTGTTTTTTACATCTGTAAAATTTATTTTGTAGCTATTTGGAAAGAACATCAAATGAAAATAGATGAAGTACATAAAATAATTCGATCCTTACAAGATAAACTTGAAGAACAAATGAAGCTTAAAAATGAAAAAGTGAGGAGTTTAATTAGTTAATTAGTTTAACTAATAATTTTAAAGTATTTATAATGTATATTTTAATGTTTTAACAATGTTAATGTGTTTTTGCATCAGACCAAACATCTCAGAAATGCTGATATGATAGTTAAAGAACTATTCATTGAAAACGCTAAACTCAAGTCAATAGTACATAATATTCAAATTAAAATTGACAAAGGAACTTACAATTCTATGTGAGAATTTACTATGCATATTGTTTTTATTGTCATTATTATTATTGATTATTTCTTTTCCTAATTTAAATTTTTTAGTTTTAAGATGTTGACTTTTCTTTTGTTTTTTTCTATTGATTAGTTTTTTTTTAATTTAAATATTAGTAATAAATCATGGTAAACAGTGCCTTACAAGTGAGCTTATCACGGCTTATTTAGCCATGTTATAAAAAACCAACGCAGGGTAATTTTAAAATTATATAACATTTTTATATCGGCTACTGTATTAAAACAAAAATAATAGTTCTATATTTTTAAGTAATGAAATTTTTATAATATTAAATCATACTTAAGTTATCGTAATATAGCCAATATATTACTGCATGTATTATTTAATTATGATTCAATCTATTATGTTTTTTTAGTTTTATTCGAGTCTTTAAATAACCACAAATGTTACTTTAATACCAAATAATACTACTTATTTAAACTATATTTTTTTATTATAATTTTCTGTACTTTTATGTTTTTTTTTAGTATTTTTTTCTGATTATTATGTTACGCATATTGGTTACCATTTAATATGTTCTTCTCTCACCTATGTTTTACTGGTAAATTTATTCTATCTGTATAAATTGCTATTTACTTTAACCATCAAGTTTTATTTTCCTATTTATACTCATTATAAAAAAAATTTTAATTAAACTTTAATTTTTTTTTTTTTTTGGAAGGTATAACCTAAATTAATTCACTATAGAAATGATCCTATTTTAAATGTTTACTAATCCTTAAGTTTAATAATTATTTCTAAAAAAATATCAATAATCATATTTATAATAATTCAATTTAACTATCTCATTATTTTGGTTAAAATAAAAATTGTAAACATCTACCAAATAAATTATTTGTACAAAAATGATTTAAATAAAATGTACAATTTCATATAAATTTTTTATGTACAGTGAAACTTAGGTTTGCAGAAGTGAAGGTATTTGTAATAATAATTAATAACCCATTTAATGCATGCTATAGCGTAATCTTGTATTTTTTTTAACATTTATATTCTTATCATTTTTATTTAACTTTGCTAATAATCTAGTCAATTACTTTGTACCTAATTTAAATTTATTGTAATCATCATAAACTTCTATTAAAAGTTTTTAATTATTTTACACCTAATTTCAAAAAATTTTGATGTTCATAAGCAAATAATTTCTTTTTATTATTATTGTGGAAAACGTGAATGTATGAATATATAATAGTTTAATTTTTGATATAAGTTATATTATTGTTTTATCTTAATTGGTTGTGACAAAATAAATTTTTAACATTACCTGAGTTGTATTATTGTTAAAATTAAAATATTATGTAGTACAAAGAAGTTGTTAAAAACCTTGATAATATTTTCACAATAATATCATTTTTATACAACATATTTTGTTTAATATATCTTAAGGTTATTTTTCTTATTTTAGGTATGATTAAAATTTATTTCCGTTTAAATGAATAATATTTTTTATTTCATTTTAATAGAATTTATTAAATAAATTAAATTTATAGTTCTTGGCTAGTATTTGGCTTTATAATTAATAAGCAATTCTAAAAAACTATAATGTTTTAACATAAATTCAAAATAACTTGTCCCCCAAATATAATTTAGCCCATCTTTAATCTAGTACCTATAATTTGTAAATGTAATACATTTTTTATCATAATCTAAAGTGCATTTAATAACACACTACACTATTTAAGTTATTTATAGAATTTTCCTCAAATCAGATTAAATATTTTATGTTATTGGATTATTTTCTTTTTAACTTTTTATGTAGTTGATACTCACTTTTGATAATGAAGAACTATACAATTGATGAGGTATGAAGAAATTAGCGAATTATTTTATAATTTAAATACATAAGTTATATTATTATTTATTTTGGTCTTCAACTTTGTAGTAATAAGAAATAAATGTAGCATGAATATACGACAAACTTTCAAATACGACACAATTATATAAATTATTATTCTCACATACATATATTCTCTAAAAAAGTATCTATCAAAAACTACATGGTTTTCATATAAGGGACCGATTATCATAGAAAAAACTGGTTGGAACATCTTTCTTTTTTTTTAATTGTCAGTACATAACAAACCTTGAATGTTATTTTATTAAATAATATAGATGTTCCGTTTTTATGAAAACGCTTTAAAATCAGCTATTTTTACCAAAAATTATATAATTTTTCGTTTTAATGGTCGATAACTCATAAAAATCGAGTTTCGAATAGTTTATCTTTTTCATTTTGAATTACATATAATTAGCTATAATTTGATGCAAATTTAAGTGTTTTGAAACAATGTGTAAAATTAAAATAAAAAAAATATTGATAATTTTTCATTCGTTACCTTGAATAATTATTGGATTTTCAAAAAAGTAGCCAACGTGATAAATGTTTAAAGTATTATAAATAAATATTTTGTAATAATAATCCATCCATTTGTTTAACATTTAATTCAATATAAAGTAAAAACTACGAATACCAATATTGATTGTTATAACAATCATAATTTCTTTAGATATTTCTCTTTAATGTGTGATTTTTTAAAACTATACTCCTCCAATTAGATACGATTTGGGATATTTTGATGAATCATAAAGCAAAATCAGTTTAGTAGTAGAGGAGCATTATTATGGATAGATACAAAAAAATAACAGTAGAGTGAAACAAAAACATGATTTGTATAAACTTAACATGTTAAAATTGCGAGACGCTAAAAATTTTAAAAGATTGTATTTTACTAATTATCCAATTATTACATAGTTAACAAATTAAAATAAATTTACTGTATTGTACTATCAAAATAAATACATTATTATTAATTCAATTTAAATAATTCTAAAATATTTCCTGCATAAAGAAAGACTTGAATTTCAAGCACTAAAGTGTATTATATTGCAAGTATAAGGCCACATTTTGAAAAAAATTGTTTCAAGATAAACAGCTTCAAGTTTTGATCTTCTATAATAGTTGCACTGTGTTACTTAATTTTTAGCATTTATAATAAGTTTAAGTAAAATTTTATATAAGTACCTTTCGTATTAAGATTAGAAAACTGTTTTGAATTATATCTATTAAAATGTAAAATATGAATTTTTATCTCATACTCATAGTGCGATATAGTTTTGTAAATTTATATATTAAGTAACTAGAAAAAGTATATAAAAAATATGTCCATCTCTTATTTTGTTGTTGCCAAAAATATTTATTTTAGAAGCAACTAGTTTATTTTTTTAGAGAAAAACTTAATAATTTAAGAGAGTTATTAAAAAATAATAATAATAAAGAAAACATTATAACTAAATTCATTTTATAATTTTTAATTCAAAAGTATTATTAAAACAATTATAATTACATAGTCGTCCCAAGGATGTACAATAAAAGTACATAGACTTCATTCAAAAATTAATTTAATAATAATTTATTTTAAATAATAATTTTTTTAAAGTCGTATAAAATAATGTCTTTTTGTCAACAAAAGTCATTTGCACATTTAAATGTTCAAAAAATGTGGTCATCAAAAAGTTTCTCTGAATATAACTGTTAATATAAAGAAAATACAATTGAAAAATAATTAGACAAGTATAATTAGTAGAAAAAAAGGATTTTAAAGTTAATCAATAAAAAATTGTAACACAAGTATTTATAAAAATTAAGTCTTTTATTTATCTTAAACCTGGACCCAACAAAGTAGGTCTGATGGAACGCTTCTCTTGTTCTTTCTTTTTGTTTGGATCCGGTAAAAAGCATTTCCACATGCGTAATGTTTCATCTGCACCAGCAGATAAGACTGTTGAACCATCTGGTGACATTGCAAGATTTAGTATGCGATTTGTGTGTCCTGTAAGTTCAGCAACCTTAAAAAATATAAAAGGTAGTGTTAAAAAAATAAATTATCACAATTTTAACTTTAAATTGTAAAATTAACCTTGGTCATGGAAGGATATTTCCAAATAGTCAGTTGATTATTTGCAAAACCATGGGCAGAAACTAATTCCCGGTAAGTTTTTGACCATAAAATTGCACACACTTGAGAATTAGCATTTACTGAATTGACACATTGACCATTGTTACAATTCCAAAATCTTATATGTCTATCAGCAGTCCCACCACCACTGGCTAATATATTAGTTTGCCATGGGCACCAATCTAAAGCTTTAACAGCTGCTTGATGTTGACTAAATAAGATATTAATTTTAATTATTTATTTATTTTAAAATTATTTAGATTAAAATATTAGTTCTTACCTAAAACTATAAATAGGTTCACTTTGATAGGTAGCTTGTCCAGGTAAGCCACTATATATATTGAGTAAATTATCATTACCTCCACTGGCCAAATAACGACCATCTGGAGACCACTTTAAACCACAGACCTAAAAAAAAAATATACATATATTATACAAGTTCTTTTTGCATACTTATTTTAAAATAAAAATTATAATAATAATAATGTTTTCTTATAATTTAAAAAATGTTAACCAATTAATATAAAATTCTAAAGCACTAAATTACATACAAAATAAAGAAGACTTGATATACTATAATTATTAGAAAAATAATTAAAATAGTATACTTTTAACAAACAAATTATATACCTCTTGTGTATGAGATTGAATAGTTCCTACAACATGCTCTCTTTGACGTACATCATTATGAATAAGTTGTCCACTTCTAGATCCAGTAGTTAGAATATGAGTATTCCATGTCATAGCACCTACTCTAGAACTGTGACTATTCATTATACGTAAACGTTTTGTTTGAGAAGCATCCCATAGCTAAAAAATACAAAACATTAATTATATTTGCTAACTTCATACTTTTTTAAATAAAAAGAACAATAATAGCTACTAACTTGTACAGGCCCCAAAGCAGTTCCAACAGCTAATAAATTTCCATTAGGAACCCAACTTAAAGAGGTAACATAATCAGCACCTTCTAAATCTAAGAGTTGATCAATGGCACCAGTGTCAGCATTCCAGAGATAAACACTGGTGCCAAGAGCAACAGCTAGCATATTGGAGAAGCTCCAGTCGATAAGATTTAAATCTAAATAAAGAAAAATATAGTAATGTTTAAATATTTTTCATAAAAATAAAAAAAGCAATTGACATACAGTAATCATCTACTATTTCAGGTGCATCTAGTATACGGTCTGGTGCATGTGGTATATAACGAGTTGTTCCACGTACATTCATAGGTGTTTTTGATTGACTGTAAACAACTTTTAAAGCATTTTGATAGCCCTAAATGTTATAAGAGTTAATATTAAATTGGTAGATTGTTAAAATAGAAAAACTAAACTTTCAATAATGTACCTCTGGAGGTGCTGGTGCTTTGTTTTGATAAGACAAAACACGAACATTACTAATATCACAACCATGAAGATTTTCAGACATGGCTTTCCTGTAGTCCGTTTGAGTAGGACTTACGTCAAGGTTTTCATTTTCTTGGTTCATCTAAAATCATGTAGATAAAATATATTGTATAGAATATAATTATACATCATAGATATAAGATATAGCTTACTTTAAAATGACTGATGTCAAAATTAGTGGACATTCTGGATGGAATAAATCTATCACCACCTGGTGTTTTGGGCTTAGCCGGAGTATTAGATGCTGATCTTGAAGCTGAAAAAATTTAAATTATATAATAAAATTTTTTTTTTGTATAATTAGTTATATCATAAAAAATTAACATTACATTTACTCAAGTACTTCATTTTTTTTATTACACTAATATACAGGGTGATTATTTTACCACAAACGATTTAATTAATCGAAAAATGAAAATAATATTGATACATTTTATTTTAATTTACTTTCAATTACATAAGTTTTTTAATTTATCAATCATGAAATATTTTTATCTTTATTTTAATTTTTTTTAATCAACATATACAGAATGATTGGTTTATTATAAACCACTTGATTAGTTTTAAAATAAATACAATATTGAAGAAAAAATTTTGATTTCTATAGTTGCATATATTTTTTGAGTTATCAACTAATAATTATTTTTTATAATCATCCCTTATAACTTAAAGGAGTGTCAATTTTATTTTTTTAAATGGCAACATATATATTTAACTGGCTTATAATTGTATCTAGTTAAGAAAATGACTGGTTGATAACAACTTTTGGACCAGTATCTCAGAAGTTATTAAGAATTTAAAGTAATGACTGGAGATGAAGAATGGATTCTGCTATTTTTATCATCACTAGTCATCTCTCAATTGTATTGTTTGTTCTGTTTAGCTATAAAAATGAAAATAACTTCCAAAATACTGATCCAAAAGTTGTTATTGCACAGTTATTTTCTAAATAGATTATTTTCTATTTTATAAGCTAGTTAAATATTTACGTTTCCATTAAAAAAATATAGTTGACAACCCTTTAAGTTATAAAAAATAATTTTAAAAAGTAATTATTAGTTGATATTCAAGAAATATATGCAACTAAAAGAAATAAATATATTTTTTTTCAATATTGTATATTCAACTAGCTTAAATAATCGAATTGCTCTAATGTTTTTTTATTAAAATATTAAAAATATAACTAAAATTAAAAAAAAACTTTAAAAAAAATTAAAAATCATAAAGATACATATTAAATTTTTATTTGTATTGCTTAAAAAGTTCATTCATATAAAAGTTTATTAATCAATTTACTTAATATAAGACATAATATTAATGTTATGAAATAACTTACGTTCTACTATAACTGATAATTTCATGCATTTAAAACTAGAAAAATCAGGAGAGTTACAATTGTTGTCATACAGTTTTCTAGGTTTAAGTTTATTTCTTTTACTATATCCTTTCATTTTAAATTAATATTGTAACTTCTTCTTGTTACAGTTTTTAAACGATAGTTTAAGAGCAAAAATTAATTTAACAATATTAATGATTATAAATAAGTACTCAACTATAAACACATGGAAGAAAATTAGGTTGATAATAAATAATTTTAACATAGATTGTGGAATAAATCATTGTGTCTCAAATTAAAATCTTACCAGGAGATTTAGATTTTTTTGGTGTTTTTGATGGTGTTCGTTTTGTTGCAAGTAGATCCATACTTTCTTTAGATGTTTTCATATTGGCACTGAATGAACTCGAGGTAGATAATTTGTTTCTAGATATACTAGTCGAACTTATATAAAATAATAAAATGGACTTTTTAAATTTGAACAAGATATTAACACACTTTATTAGTATCACTTACCTCGAGTTTGATTCAATACTTTTCTTCATCCAGCGGGGTGCTGGCCCACTAGTGATTGGGTCATCCATCCGGACAGCACTTTTGAGATCATTAACATAAGCGAATTGAGACATTCTGACTTGAATGTGTATTCGCCTAAAACACAAAATTTTAGGTTCAGTAAATATTTTAAATAAAGAGTATTATTAAAATAAAAGAAAACAACTATACTCATTTTAATTTGATAATACTCTAAAAAAATAAATACTATTATAAAATCAAAAGGTATATTTTTCAGAAAATTGAATACAATTTTCCTAAATATCAGTTTTAAATTTAATAAAAAATCTTACTTTGACAAGGTAAAATAATGTACTCAATGTGTGCGCGGTTACAAGTACGATAGGAACTAAATACGGTAACAAATTTAAAAATGAACAATTCAAAGGAATTCCGATGTAAAAATCAATAACAATAAAAAATATATAAAAATTGGGTTTTTCGGCTAATAAAATATGAAAAAGTTGACATTAAAATCGTGTTTTGTTAGGCTTATTTGTTTATGTATAGTATCTAGATTTAAATGACGGTTATTTCCCCAACATAATACGAATACTACTTTAGTTTCTTGTTTGACGTTCGCCGCATGTGAAGCAGCACATGTACATCTGTTGAGTATAATAAATGTCAGTGTGACCATATTAGTATTATTGTTGGTTAAAAATTGTATTCATGAAATTTATTTTTTATTATTTGAAAGTTTCGGCAAAATTTCGTGGCTCATTAAATGATTAAACCCAATCCAACCATTTTATTAAGTGTAACGAAAATATTAGAGGAGTTATTTATGATAGATAAGGGCAAACATTTCACCGATCTATCATGATTTATCTCTCATATTTAAAACTAAACTAATTTTATATATATAAAAAAAAATGTTCAATGCGTAGCTTATAGATTTTTTTTAAAAATTTTAATATGTATAAAAATTTACGTATTATTTAGTTCAAAAGGTTTAATATTATAGATATTATATAGCATATAATAATATACTTATTATATTATATTTTATCCATTAAAAAACATTTCACAGTAAAGTTATTGCACATAGAAGATTTGACTATGATATGATTAATATTATTCTACAGAGTGTTCAGTAAGTCAGGAAACGGGTATCTATTGTTCTCATTGTTACAAACAATGAGAACAATAGATACCCGTTTCCTGACTTACTGAACACCCTGTATAATAATANGATACCCGTTTCCTGACTTACTGAACACCCTGTATGATCATTGATATTGATAAAAATTATATAAAAAGGCGCAATATATTAAAAATGATTGAGGAAAAAATATTTTTTCTATCAAATAAAATTATATTTAATAATTAAAATGTTGGCTATGTTTCATGGATTTTAATTGACCCCGGATAGTTAAACATCAACATATATGCAAACCAGGTTACTCTGGTAAAGATAAATATATAAAGTATTATTTTTATATCCTAGTAAAACTACTTGATTTTTTATAGGAAATAAATGTGAAACAGAAGTTGACATTTGCGAAAAAAATCCTTGTGAAAATGGTTTTTGCATTAAAGAAGGAAATAATTTAAGTTATTCTTGTGAATGCTTTCTTGGTTTTTACGGACGAAATTGTGAAAATGTTTTAGGAGAAGGTAAAAACCAGACTTTTATTAGGTTTATTACTAAAATAATTAAACATTTGTATTTTAAACTTAACTTAGGTTGTGGTGGTGATTTATTTGAGTCAGAGGGTGAAATACATTACCCTATTAGTAATACCACTTCAACGTATGATAGTGATTTAAATTGTTATTGGACTATTGAAATAAATAATTCAAAAATTATAAAAATATCATTTGAATGGATAGATTTGGAAAAGTCATATGATTGTCGAAGCGATTACGTTGAAGTAAATTGGTAATTGAATTTATGAAAATTGTCAATTAAAAAAAATAATTTTAGATAAGAAATGTAATTGGAACTGACGAAGATAATAAGGCTTTAGAATATTAGGATATTTTTCTTTTTCTTTTTTCGAAGTTTTCGAGTTTTAATTATTTCTATCACTTAAATTATAACTTGACAATAAATAAAAAAATATTAATACATTTAAGACATTAACAATAAGTAGGTAGGTATATAATTGATTAATAAAGATACATCTATTAAAAATCTTTAATTTAAATACCAAAATAAAAACCATGCTGAAATTTCGGTTACGGTTAAGGTTAAGGTTTTTAAAGTACTTTTTTTTAAGTTTCAGTTCCTAGCCCTGATTTAAAAATGCTTTCAAGAATAAGTTACTTATGTCTAATAGACAGGACGATAAAACCGTGTACCCAGTTTGTCATTATCAGGGCTTGGGACTTATAGCATTTGCTAGAAAATGCTTTTTTTTGCTATTTTTGATGATTTTTTCAAAAAACGCTTATATTCAGTTTTTTCTGCTTTTTTCGATGATTTTATAAAAAACAAATGCTTGTTTATTGTTTTTTCTGTTTTTGTACATTAAAATATTTTCTTTATGACGCAGCCTACACAGGTTTTTTTATCGGTTTTTGATAGATCTAATAAGGAAAATAATTCAATTGCCTTCCTTGTTTGTAGGGTTTTATCTTTGTTATCTTATCTATTTGATAGCCAACGCCGTCCTTGGCATCGTTAACTTCTTTAGCTATGGTTGAAGTGTCATACTGGTGTGGTACTTGGTTGATTTCCTTTTTATAATGGATTTCTTGGTAAAAAATATTTTTAGACCGCTATGACATACTGGGATATCAACACAAATTTATATTTAATTTTTCAAAAAATCCATAAACAAGATATTATTTAACATTTCTTGTCATTCAACTTGAAAGTCGAAGTCAGACATCATTTCGATTCTTTCAGAATTAATTTTTTGTATATATATTTTTTTTTTGTATTTTTAATTTTAATTTATAATTAAAAGAATAAATTAATTAAATACCCGTATTTTTTTTCAATGAAATAATTTCATTTTAATGGTATCTCTAGTCTCTCGCTATCTCTAGCTATATACTAAAATCGTAAGCCCCTCAAATAAGGTCGACCTGGAAGAGATATTGCGTTTTTTCCTCTTTAAAATTCCCCTTTCTCTTTTCTCTCCGCTTCTTCGACATCGTTCGACGGCTCTTCCGCTCCCGCGTCTTTTCCTACCTTCGTTCGAATTTTTCGCCTTTTCCGTTTTCTTAAATTCGCGAAAAACGCTATTTCCTGGAACGGAAAACGACGCGAAATAGGGGAGCGCGCCTCCCACTCGGCCACTGTTTTCGTCGTTATCGCCGCGTCCGACGCCCCAAACGCGTGTTCGTTATCACGACCGCTTTGTGCGTCGTCGTTTATTTCAATATATAGCGTATTGACCGTATCCGTTTATTTAATGTGATTTTGTAAATTTTCTACTTCTACTACTATTGCGCGATTATGTATAATCGAAACTCGCAGTTGGTAATTTTACNATGTACATATTAATCGAAACTCGTGCGATTAACGCAGTTTATCCATTGTCGATATTGTGTGACTCGATTTGATTTTGTAATTTTTAGATGGCGTTTGTCGTGTGCCCCGAAGGACTGCTTCGATAACGAGAGCGCTGCTGGCTCTAACCATCTCGCGAACGGAGGATTTATTAACGCGGGTAACGCCTTTTTATTCGTTAAAAAACACAACAACAAAAAAAAAAATACTGTGCGTTTGACGTTTTCACAACCGTTCGGTAAGTCGTATAATTATAATCGATTCGATTTCGTAGTTTTTAGACGTCGTTTGTTGTTGTATCCCGAGGAACGTTTCCATAACGGCTCGGCCTATCGGTTCTAACGGACAACTGGATTTATTGCGCGGGTAAATATTTTTTTATACGATATTATTAGTCGGTCGTTAATTAATATAGTTTTTAAATATATATATACATTGGTAATGGCACTGATAAATTAATTTGATTTTGTAATTTTTAGACGGTATCCGTGGTGCCGCGATAACGAGTAAGCTAGAGATTGATGATGGCAGTCGTCGCTATTGAATTTATCGCACGGGTAATTCGTTTTCATTTGTTAAACAAAAATTTATTTCTATTGACTTTTTTTAAAATACAGTTCATCCTTTTGCATTTTAATCATTAGTTTGCTTTATATATCATTTATTGGTGCAATATGTACTACTACNCATTTCTTTAGCATGCGTTAATCATTAGGTCGATTTGTATTTCTTTATTGGTGTGTAATATGTAATAATATGCAACATACAAATATGTACTTTATTTTTAATTAATTTTTTGTTTGCAAATACTACATTTATAATTGTGATTTCCTTTATGATTAAAGATGAACTCTATCTTAAAATAGAGTTCATCTTTATACGTTTTAATCGATTTACTTTGCATATTTTAATCATTGGTTTGATTTGTATTTCATTTATTGGTGTGCAATATNGGTCCACCTGGAAGAAATATTCCGTTTTTTCCGCATTAAAATTCGCATTTTTCTCTTTTCGCCGCCTTTTCGGTACCGTTCGACGACGCTTATCGTTACCCGTCTTTTCCTAACTTCGTTCGAATTTTTCGCCTTTTCCGTTTTCTTAAATTCGCGAAAAACGCTATTTCCTGGAACGGAAAACGACGCGAAATAGGGGAGCGCGCCTCCCACTCGGCCGATCGCGTTCCCGCCTTTTCGTCGTTATCACCGCGTCCGACGCCCCAAACGTGTTCGTTATCACCGAGCCGCCGTTTTGTGCGTCGTCGTTATTTCAATATATAGCGTATTGACCGTATCCGTTTATTTAATGTGATTTTGTAAATTTTCTACTTCTACGGCGATTATATTATTTTTGATGATTTGATTTTGTAATTTTTAGATGGCGTTTGTCGCGTGCCCGGAACACCGCTTCGATAACGAGAGTGCTGGCTCTAACGATCCGACAAATGGATTTATCAGACGGGTAACGCGTTTTTTTTCGTTAAAAAACACGACAAAAAACCCGTGCGTTTGACGTTTTCACAACAATTGTATATGATTTCAAAATCGTTGTAACGCCAGTATTAATTAATTGATTTGATTTTATAATTTTTTAGACGGCGTTTGTTGTTGTATCCCGAGGAATGTTTCAATAACGGCTCGCCCCGTAGGCCAATCGGTTCTAACGGATAACGGATTTATTACACGGGTAATTCATTTTCTTTTTTTTTTATACAATATTTTAATCATTGCTTTGATTTGTATATCATTTATTGGTGCAATATGTACTACTACATCAGTCTATACAATATATATATATATATATATATATATATTTTTTATTACTATTATTTTTTCACAGCAATTACAATAAAAATATTGTAGATTATATAATATATTATGGTAATGGCTGTATTAAATTTTAATTTGTTTTTATAATATTTAGACTGTGCTACCCCATTGTGGTTCCAGGATAAAGACTGAGCTAGAGATTCATGGCAGTCATCGCTATTAAATTTATTACAAAGGTAATTCATTTTCATTTGTTAAAAAAAATTTATTCCTATTGACTTTTCTTAAAATAGAGTTCATCCTTTTGCATTTTAATCAATTTCTTTAGCATACGTTAATCATTAGGTGGATTTGTATTTTGTTAATTGGTGAAGCAATATGTACTTCATCAGTCTATATATTCTCTCTCTCTCTCTCTCTCTCTCTCTCTCTATATATATATATATATACACTTTTTTTTTATTATATTCGTGAATACCATTAAGATTATTTCTTATTGAAATGTTTTTTTAACAATTTCATAGCAATTGTAGTAATAATATATTGTATATCTACAATATTATGGTGATGGCAGTTTTAGTTAATTCGATTTTATAATTTTCAGATTGTATTCGTTGTGCTCTGATGACTGTGCTGGAAATTGTTGTTGATAGTTTTAGATTTATTGCACGGGTAATTCTTTTGTCAAAAAAAAATTTATTTTTATTTACTTTTCTCAGAGTAGAGTTCATCTTTTTACATTTAAATTAATTTTCTTGGCATATGTTGATTTGTATTTTGCTAATTGTTGCAATGTGTGCTACATCAGTCTATACTATATTTTCTCTCTCTATATATATACATGTATTCATTTTTTTTTTTAAATGAATATTTCTTATTGAAATGTTTTATTGACAATTTCGCAGCATTTGTAATAATAATATTGTATATATATATATATA